CTGTGATCCCTGAAATATATATTTTATTATTCGATTTGAGGACAAAAGGAGGGTAACGTTCGACAGCAGACCATCAAGTGAAAGGTAAATATTTACTTGGCAATGTTGTCTCAAAAGTAACAATAATTTCATATGAAATGTTCTTTACCTCACCGCGCACAATTTATTGAACTATTTTTTCCGTATTTCTCGTCGTTTTTTGTTGGTTATACCTGTTCATTCAGTTGTCAAAGTCGACGAAACCATATTACAAACGCATGCCAACTTGTTGTTTTGTTCTACTTGTAGAAAATGGCATAGGGTGCTTTGCATGCAATAAAATCTCGTTTGAATATATCTCAGGAACTTCATAGACATAAACCGATTGTGATTGTGTGCATCGATCGGACTCAATTTGACTCAGACGAAGCTACGATACACTAACCACATATGTATTTTTTTGTTGTCTAGAAGCGCTAACAAATGTGAAATGGTGTATACCACCATCCACTATGCTGCTGTATTATGACTTACAAACGGAGTCCTGTCTTGTATTTCTTAGACAGACCGCAGAATGCATAAGAAGGGCATCACGTTAGCTAAAATCCAGGGACAAAGATTTTTTTTTCATATAAAATGTGCGAGTTAAGATTACGGTATAGGAAAAAAACCTACTAAAATATAATGTATCACATCAAAACAAGAAACATATCGCGTTATGAGTTTCTGTGAATTCGCTGCGCAAATATGTGAGACATTGCTGGAGGCATTTGAGACAGTGAAATAGCGAAATGCGAAAACAAGTAGCATACCCAGCACCAAATTCATCTGTAGCAGCATTAAATCCTGCGGAAGATTTTGTGATGTTGTACACTCGGACACATGTTACATCAGCAGCCACAGGGTCGTTAGTTTGCACTCCAAGATACCATACTGTGTCTGTCAGCTGTGAAAATAACATTGAAAAATTTTTGGAATTTTCATTTTTGCTGAAACCTTGTTCATATCTATTTATAAATATTTATTCTATATATATATATATACGTCGATTGGATAATAATTCGTCATTTATATAATAATATATATATATATATATATATATATTAAAAACTATGATATATAGAAATAGAAAAAGCGAACTCCACCGTTCCAGATAAAAGGGAGGAAGAATAATATTTATACCTTGTCAAGATCTTCTTGTGGTATGGGCAGTGAGCATTTCTATGTAAAGGCCAAGGAAACCGAACCATTAAGGACACATCAAATCTCAAGAAACAATGCTCAATATTATTGGTGAATCAATTTTAATTCGGGAATCCAATACTACTGAAACTAAAATCAAACTCTGAAAAAATCCGAATATACGTGAAGTATAAAAAATTGAGGAACATTTGATAGGTAATGTTAAATATGATACGTCTAGTTGGGAACTGATTTTTGGGTTAGGCTGTACCACAACTCGAATGTCTTGATTTTCCCGTTATGTAACAGTTGCTGTAAAACAAGTATGTGTCTGTAATTTGCCATTCACATAATACATATTTGCTTAAAATGATACAATTAAATGAATTAACGCAAACTTTAATTTTGTTCTGATCTTGAACTAAAAGTAACAAATGATATTTCAAATGAAACGCATGTTGATATGCTGTCGAGGCCGAGAATAATATCTTCATCCACAGGCTCCACTCCACTCATCCAAGCAGAAAAATTGCTGGGGAAACATGATGACTCAACCAAGCGGAAGCTAAAACTGAAATGTCAGTCCCGAATCATTTTTTAATATTTTCTGTTTGCCTCGTTGATTGTAGCGTAGGCGAGACATATCCAAATACAAATTTTTGTGGATGAGGCACGATGACAAAATGTTAATCAAATGTATGAATTGAATATGTGGATATTAAAAATCCTACAGTACCTTAGTATTGTCGAGTTGGGTCTTGGCCTTATTTAACAGGATTGTAATATTCGACATGTGTTAAATTTGTTATAATCGTTGAAACTTCCAGATTACGACACTGTACAATTATTATGTGTCTCTTACTCAATCCTTCTAGATTCGGTTCTAAGTGAAAAATTCAGAATGTTAAGTCAAAATATAATGTATTTTGAACTTTATAGGTATGAAAGTTTTCACGTACAATCTCTTGATCACTAGCCAAAAACCAAAACGAGCACGCTAGAAGCGAAACGTTTTTTTTATTAAATGTCTGCATAAGCTTTTCTTTTGTTGTTACTGTCAGTCAAATCTGACAATTATCTACCAATACGACTCCCGCCATCATTTTGCAGTATGCCTACTGTATTTAATGACATATGTTTCGCTTATATAATGAAAAGAAAATTTTGTATCTGGAAGGCGGAATGTCGGTCGGGACAGAAATATTTTTATTTTCTCGATTCTGATACTTTTAAATTTCAATAAATTTTAATTTGTGATGTTAAGTATCATATCATTGAGTCGAGGGCTATTTATTAATGACCATTATCACGTCAAGAATTGACAGTCATAGAGCAATATTATTTTTATTTATAATTTTCCAGATTAGTCATCAACCTTGCAACTCATTAAAAGTGACGAGGTGATATTAAACTATGTGTGAGGAGGGAACTATGTGATCTGGAGAAACAATGACGTCACATATTACCCAGTTGGTAATAGACATGCGTTGTGTTGTGAGCATGATTCTAAACGACAAATTTTGTGGGTATAGCCCAGTTTTTATATATAGCCTTAATTATTGCATATACCTCACATCTATTTATTTTCTACAACATGGTTTTTCCCTATATTTTATCTTTGTTTAAAGGATATTCTCTTATTGACATTAATTTTGTGAAAAAACAACGGTTTTTAGATGAATGTAGGAGAAATAAAAATGAAATTGTACATATACGCATGAAACATAAACAAGAAGGTAATTCTCAATTATATGGAAAAAGCAGGAAATTATCCTATTTTCACGATTACTTGAACATTTATTGTCCAGATTAGCGATGTCCAACCCGTGGGCCGCCGAACGAATTCATGTTGCCGGCGAGAAGGTTTCTCTCTCAACTTCAATCAACTGCTTACAATCAAATTTAAGAGTAAACCTGTATTTCAGATAAAAACCGTCTCTCTGTATCTCACTATCGTGATGTAATATTACACCAATATTACGCAACCGAAGCATAAGCTCGATTCTACAGAAACACGGGTTCAGTATGGAGCCACGAAATTTGGCTGTTAAAAAATTGGGAAAAATTATATTTTTTTATTTTCAAGTAAACGGCTAATCTTGTAATTTGAAAATACATTTCAAGATAGATTTACGAATAGAGCGCCGGCGAGCGCCAAGCTACTGTCGCTGGAAAGCGGTTTAAAGGAGCAGAAAATGCTTTTCTTTGTCCAACATATTACTGAAATCAATTACAACGTATTTGTTTGAAACTTTCTTTTCTATTGAAAATTGTCGAATGTGACTGACCAATTACGTGAGACAGAATCAAAGATTTCAGTCGAGAATGAAAAGTGCGGGAATGACATTCAAAATCAGGTTTTTCTGGAGAACCAAACTTCTTTGCTGCTTATATCTTATTATTACTGCTTGAAATCACTCATCATTCTTCACATTTGTCATATTCCACAACATTTAACTGTATTTCATGATGTATGACATAATATTCAATGTGAAATGAAATGAAAATTGCGCCCTCTAGGGAAATCTAATCAGGAAAATTACAGATAAAAATATTATTGCTCTATCACTGTCAATATTTGACGTGATAATGGAAATTAAGAAATAACCTCCGATTCTATATATCATACCTAACATCACAAATTGGAATTCAACGAAAAGTAGAAATATCAAATTTAGGAAAGCGAGAGATTCTGTCATGGCCGACATTCCGCCTTTCAGATACAAAATTTACTTTTCATTATTTGAGCGAAACATATGTCATTAAATGCAGTGGGCCTATTGCAAAATGATGAAAGAAATCGTATTGACAGACAATTGTCAGATTCGACTCACAGTAACAAAACAAGGAATTCTCATGCAGACATTTAATCAAAAGACGTTTCGAGTCTGGCGTGCTCGTTTTTGTTTTTGTCTAGCTCAGGAGATTGTACGTGGAAACGTTCATACATATAAAGTTCGAAATACATTAGGTTTTGACTTAACATTCTGAATTTTTCACTCAGAAACGAATCTGAAAGGATTGAGTAAAAGACGCATAATAATTGTACAGTGCCGTATTTTGGAAATTTCAACGATTATAACAGATTTAACACATGTAACGCCATTAAGCTGAAACGTGAAGCAATAATATACTAAAGTTAAAATCAAACAAATACCTTAACGATGGAGTGGAGTATTACAATTCTGTTTCATAAGGGCAGGACCCAACTCGACAATACTGAGGTATTAAATGGGTTTTTAAATCCGTTCTTTATAATTGTAATGAACGTTCATGTGCTTCGTAATATATGGAATGCCGATCGATTTATCAAAAACAAAGGTTTTGTTTATTCTGTCAATTAAATACGCCAGGTGTATGTATAAAAAAACACAAGAGTCTATAACATGTCGCATCCATTCGTTTCCACTGCATTTTTTCTGCTTGCAAAGTGAAGCTTGGAATGAAGATTTCATCCTCAGGCAAAGCCTCAACAACATAGAGATTTTCAAGATTTCTTTCAAATTATCATTTGTTAGTTTTAGTTCAAGATCAGAACAAAGTTAGGTTTTGCCAATAATTCATTTAGTTGCATAATTTTAAGCAAATATGTATGACGGGAATAGCAAATTGAAGAAAACGCAAAGCGAGACAAATACGTGCTTTACAGCACCTGTTACATAACGGATTCGTTGAGAATGAATAGAACGAGGTAAATCGAGACCTTCGGGATGTGATACAGCCAGACGATTTGATTCCCAATTAGACGTATCATATTAACGTTACTCGATTTTGTATACTTTAAATTATTTTCACTTTTTTTTTATTGGATTTAATTTCAGTAGTATTAGATTGCTGAATTAAAATTGATTCACCGATAATAATGGGTATTGTTTGCTTTACATTCGCTGTGTTTCTATATGGATCAGTTTCCTTGGCATTTACAGAGAAATGCTCACTGCCCATACCACAAGAAGATCCTGACATTTCGAAGGTATAAATTTACCAATACTCTCACTTATATCTGGAACTATAGAGTTCGCATTTCCTATTTCTATATCTCATCATTTTACACATATTATCAAATAATTAACGAACTATTATGAAATCGGCGTACGTAATATATATATATGAGTAGAATAAATATTTATAAATAGATATGAACAAAGTTTCAGCACAAAATAAAAATTCTAAAATTTTTCAATGTTATTCTCACAGATGACAGACACAGTATGGTATCTCGGAGTGCAAACTAACGACCCTGTGGCTGCTGATGTAACATGTGTCCGAGTGTACAACATTACAAAATCTTCCGCAGGATTTAATGCTGCTACAGATGAATTTGGTGCTGGGTATGCTACTTGTTTTTACTTTTCGCTAAATCATTGTCTCAAATGGCTCTAGCAATGTCTCACATATTTATTCATTCACGGAAACTCATAACGTGATATGTATCTTATTTTGATGTGATACATTATATTTTATGGGTATGTTTTAACTAGTCTCAACTCGCACATTTTATATGAGAAAAATGTTTATTTTGCTGTATTTTTACTCGTTTTTTGTTGGTTGTACCAACCTGTGCATTCAGTAGTCAAGATTGACGAATGGCCTACCAAATACATAGCCAATTCGTTGATAGTTTCGTTCTGATTTGAAAATGATGATTCTCGCTATATGTAAATAACACAATAAAATCATAAACCGTTTTGCATGCATCGATTAGACTCAATTTGACTAACAAATGTGAAATGGTTTATACAAATGTAGCACAATGATGCTGAATTTTAACTCAGAAACGGAGCGAGTGATCCAAATATTTTTTTCTATAGTTTTGGCAAAAATGAGATTAATTCTGGCAGTTTGAATGTGCGCAATTTTATGAACGTTTGCGCTGCATGAAAATGGTTCAATTTTGGGGCATGTTGCTAAATTTACCAACATCAAACGAGATCGACCATTCGATACGAGGAGATCGACAGGTCGGTAGCGATCGACGTGTTGGCCATCTCAGGTATACACCATTTAAAATTTGTTAGCGCTTCTAGACAACAAACGATACATATGTGGTTAGTGTATCATAATTTCATCTGAGTCAAATTGAGTCTGATTGATGCACAACCAACTAACAAACGACTAGAAGTATAGGAAAAAATAATTTTCACAGATAAATTGTGCGAGTTACGGTTAAATAAAACAATGATTCAGTTTCATCTAAAATTTTAAAATAAACAATTAGATTTTATATGAAAATATTATTACTTTTCAGACAACATTATCGTTCAAATTTACCTGTCTGCTGTCAAACCTTAGCCTTTGTCCTCGAATCAAACAATATTTATATTTTAGGTCTGACAGAACCGATTTTATCAGCCACTTTACACGTCAAAGTCTGGGCGTTTATCACGAAAATAATGAAGACGGTATGTATGACTTATATTATGGTTAGTTGCATGTCTCCAGAGTAATTTGTTTATACTTTTGATCTTCTATCTTCCAACATCAAATTAATTTGTATCTATTCCCAGTATACAACTGACTGTAGTACGATTATATTTCAGAACCATCTTTAGAAGCCGCACACGAGCACACTTTAGAAGGAAAATTTAATGCCGAAGCGCGTAAAATGGGTATGTTCGTGTCTATAATGAATTTGGCATACCATATGTTGATGGAAAATACCAAATGTAGCTCTTAAATTTAGCACAAATTAACGTACGTGTTTTTCTGCTGGATAAAGTATAATAATAACCATTCTATTTCTCTCTTAAAAATTATTAATGAACACATCAGTGTACATAACGATTGTTTCAATATTATGTTGTTGTTGTTATTATTATTATTCTCTCTCGTCATGATGAAATCGCTTTTCTCTTCGAATATTGGACCAATTGCTTTGAAATTTTCAGTGGTTAAAGATTGATTTTTTTGCCAGAAGGCTATTACTTTTACTTATTTTAAAAATTTCTGTGGACTTCAAGAGATTCGTTTTTTATGTGTCAGAATAAAAAATAGCGACACCTTGTGACGTGTCCATATATTTGAGCACAGCTCTCTTGTTTCAATTTGAAATCGTTTCTATATTTTAATATATTTCTACCCAGATGACGAAATCTTGCTTAAGGACGATAACGTGTTTCTAACCGATTACGCCAATTATTTGACAGTCATGCAGTGTCCTGCAGAGGGTGAGCAAATCATATTTTTATTCATATATTTGGATTGAATTTCAATTCATCATTATATCGAAGTTATGTCTAATAGATAAGACAATATATGCCTCATTATGACCAGACCACAAATGAATGACGGTTCAAGATTATAAACCATTTAATTCGTGTAACTTCTATAATTTGAAATAGGTGAGTGTAGAACGAGTACTTCTCTTACTACAAATTTGATTGACAGATTTTTCTGTGAACATCAGAGACTTTATTTGTATGTCATAGTAAACTCTCTCACTGGTCACTTTTACTTTTGATTATTGCTTAATCACAGGAAAATGGATCATCTTGAATTATTTCAAGCAACCACAGCCGTCTCTAGATAGTGTCATCAAATTCTACAATAAACTTCATGAACTTGGTGTCTCTGCTCGTTTCCATGCATCTCGTTGCAATGAAAAAGATTTTACCGAATAAAGACAAAATTATCGAACATTTAATACCGTTGCAACTTGACAGTTCTTTCAATGTTTGATTTTAATTTTGTTTAATTCTATTTGGATAATTTCAATATTTAATGTTTTGTGTCTTCGTGATGAGATCTCGGTTCAAATTGATATTAAAAAAATAAACTGGCTTTGTGAAAGGAAAAGTACACTTCTTATTCCTGTTTGGTTTATGGTGAATGATTGTTACATACCAACCATTGTTTAATCTAGAGATAATATATTTAGTGCATTTTATACCGAACATTATTATTAAAATATTTTTAAAAATCTCGTCTCTAAAAGTTTCTTCTCATGCAGTATAAATAGCACGCACAGTGGCACATAAATATTGAAATAATATTTAAAATAAGTGGAGAGTTGAATAGCGAAGGAAATGATACTGGATAGAAATCAGTTATATATTGTTAACATTTGATAACCTCATAACTATTCTACATGAATTCTTCTTACTCATTACATGTATTTATATGCATTTTAAGAACATAACGGATACATACTGCTCTTTTCTGTAGGTATCTGCTTCTACAGAGTCTTGTTTATAGCGGCAATGTAAGAATCTCCATAAAATTGTTATACTATATCGCATGTATTGTATTAGATAGGCCTTCTGTATACCCCTAAAGTAAATGAATTACCTGAATGAAAGCGAGCTTCCCATAATCGTTCTTGTATGCGCACCTGCACGACGTTTTTCATCATCCGGATACATCTGCTTGTATATGACGTCATTATGATATGCCTCTTCGCAAATATTTGGAAGCGACATCCAGTCTTTGGTGTTTCCATCCTACAGCACGAGCTCTAATCTGATGACATTGAAAGCGTTATAATTCATGATAAGTAGTGTGTACACACATGAAATGTTGGAAATATAGATAGAGGAGTTAAGATCTCGATGGCGAGGCAGTCCGAGGTGGTAAAACTCTCTAAAACCTGTGTATGTATAAATCTCTCATTTTGTTTTGTTTCAGTATGTCGGACACTCGATTTTACAGGAAAGAATACAAAATGGCTACATCATCCACAGTCCAAAGTTACTGCAATCGCAGAGTACACGAACTAGGACTGAGTTCAAGCAGAGCATAGTCGTTCGTTATTTAGCAGGGCATAGTAAACGGTAAACCAAGAGATACTTTCTCATCCTCTTATGCTCTTATCTTAGTGGAATTTATGTATGCAACATATAATACAAAATACACTTCATGATTCAGATTTTTAATCAGTGTTTATGACCTATCGTGACAGCTGATGCTGTCGGCAATAAACAATTTGCTTTGAGTTTCTATTGCTAATTGGACACGAAATGGACCTATTGATAGTTCTTTTTAGTACTATGTTGTTTGTTTTCTTCTTTTCTTGTTGTTGTAAGAAAAAACGCTTTCCCCTTTAACTACTAGGATAAGTAACTAGTCCAAGTGCTTTCAGATTGTCAGTGGTTAAAACAGTGGTTCTCAACCTTTTATGGCTCGTGGCCCTCTTCCGGCGCCTTTTTGCACTCGTGGGCCCCCTGTTCGCCATTCCAAAAAACTAAACGTGTTAGATCGCATTATGTTTTTACGACCTTTTATGGAATAAAAAAGCAAACCACAGAGAAAAAGGAAGAGCTTTTTAGTATACAATCAATGGGAATCTTGCGCTTGGGACTGTCTGACAAGGTTTCTTATATTAGACACCGTCTTTATTATAGCCAGACGAATGGTGTCAACATCAAGACGGTTTCTAGATTTTGTTTTGATGGTAACAAGATCAGAGGAACCCTTTTCGCACACATAAGTTGACCGGGGGATGATTTTTGTCACGGTGGTTTTGGATTTTAAATGGACGTAATGATTCATTGCTCATAGCATACAAACAATGCAAGCATTGAGCACATTCTCTGTCATCTCGATTTACTTTGGTAAAGCCAAAGTCAACGTAACTGTCGTTCCATTTTCGTATTTTGGACGTTAGGAATTTATAAATGGGCTTTTGCGTCTATAATACGATAGCGAGGGACGAAGGTCATCTCGCAATCTAGTAAAACTGCTCGTCTACGGGTTAGACAGCCTACCGGCGAACTATTTTGATCGGTAGATTCCAAATTCTATTATAATCAAACAATTCACGCACAAGAAAGTGAATACACCCTGCGATCGCAAATACCCTACCTATTCAGGCAATGAAACTGCGGTGAACGCTTGAACTGAGAATTTTATTTTAAAAGAAAAGTATGCAAACGAAGTCGGTTTATAATAAATTTTTAGCTTTGTGTCGTGCCCCCCTTGGGGGTCCACCGGTCTCCGGTTGAGAACCACTGGGTTAAAGAATGTTATTGTCGCAGGCTTTAGTGAGTTTGTGCTCATATACGCCATTATGGACGATTGTCGCTATACTTCTGCAAGCTCTACTCCGTGACGCCACAAGGACGTATCTTTTGGATGACTTAGTCAGTTGGGGACAGGAATGCAAAAATTGTTATATCACGTCCACTAGAAGTACTTGTGGTACTAACTTAAACTAGACCCACAGGTTCGGTAGACGTCACATAGTTCCAGCTTCGTTTAGAATAGGGTTTTGCGGAAATAGTGGGTGAATATTTCGTTTTGTCCCTCGTGTCCATATATATGAATATTGCTCTCTTGTTATTATTATCTTTTTAGGATGGGTGTCCTAAATTTATTTTTGAGTCGGCGTACGAGATCTTTCGTAGCCTTCTAATCGGAGCACGGGCTCTTAGCTTTTAACTTGCACGAATTGTTCTTCACCTCTATGTTCGGTTTTGTAGGCGCTCGCCCCCAGCAGACAACAGATGATAGTATACAAACGACAATTGCGACAATTCTTCTTTACTTTATTGAGCAGTATACACGTCAAGGTTGTATTTACAAGACTGGATAATACTACAGAGAAAGCGATCCTTATATACAGAAAACGAACGATAATTATGTCTCTCCCAGGATTTTAACATAATCAGAATTTTAAAGAAAACTGTAAGGATTCGATCTATAAATCTATATTCCGGGGATTAGAATGGTGCTATCGATCCCATTAGCCTTATTGATCGAAGTTTTGAATACTAATTACCACCTGGACGTTATTGATCCAGTTATTTTTCGTTGCCATATGTTGCCTAATTTAAAATGGGTTTTTTATCGACCTAATTTATGAATTCGGAGAATTTCGTCAATACTAATTATCAGCCTTTTTCTATGTATTTAAAAATGTTTGTCCAAATTACTAATCTTTCCCTATAAAATACTCCCTTCTTTTGGAATGGAATTCCGGGTTTTGAGACATAATTATCGTGCCTATACGTTCTAAAAATAAAATAAAAAAAAACATTCAAAATTGCGAAACACGAAAAATATGAAAGGTCAAGAAGAAACATGCAAAACATTAAAATTTAGTCGACTGAAAATAGTTTCTCTTCTCTGTTACGATATTGAAAAATGTTTGTTACATATTCTATAAACGAATAATTAGATGCATTTTTTTTACGTATATATATATATATATTTTACATTTTCTTTTTTCTTTTTTTTTTCATTTTTTTTTTTTTTACGTATACATTTGAATGAATAAACACAATTCATGAAAACTAACACAAATCGCCAAGGGAGGCGAAAAATCAAGAAGAAAGAGTGGGATATAGGTTAGGGTGGGAATTGGAAACGTGGGGAGCATGAATGGGCACAACAGTCTCGATGTCTTCTCGATTTGATCTATTATTATTCTGAGTAGTATTATCCAGTCTTGTAAATACAACATTGACGTGTATACTGCTCAATAAAGTAAAGAAGAATTGTCGCAATTGTCGTTTGTCTACTATCATCTGTTGTCTGCTGGGGGCGAGCGCCTACAAAACCGAACATAGAGGTGAAGAACAATTCGTGCAAGTTAAAAGCTAAGAGCCCGTGCTCCGATTAAAAGGCTACGAAAGATCTCGTACGCCGACTCAAAATTAATTCCAAATTACTAATCTTTCCCTATATCTTAATCATGACTTACGTCCTATAAAATATATAACTGCCTTACGATCGACCCCACTTTTCTGAATTCACCGCATAAAACTGTTATGTATAGGCATACCAGTATGCAAAATAATTTTGCTTTATCTGATATCCGTATCTTGATATAACACTTTAGCAGACTTCTTCAACAACGAGCAATAATGACGAACTGTCAATATAGATTGCTTGTTTGAACAATTACCTATGTTTTTCAACATAGTGTCAATATTTCTATTCATATAATTTGAAGTAAGAAACGTATATTAGAAAATATAAAATAAAATCTATATATATGAATATTTTTTTTTTCTTTATGCTGATTCCTAAACACAAAAAATAGAACACGTAACCAATAGTTAGTAATCCAAGACCTAATTCCAATTTTTCCAAACTCTGACCTAGTTCATTGTAAATTTTACCACGGCTCAATTATTAAGTGCAATCTGCGCTTCGCCTCTTTTCAATATTCTTGTTCGGGAAATACAATGATACGTTTGGAATTTATGATGAGATAGATAGTCATATTCAAGTCAATTGAAAGCTAAAAGTAGTGAAGGTGGAATGTCAGATATTCGATAAAATATTGAGCAAGTCTAAGACCGCAAATCTTTTGATTTCCGAATTACAAAAGTATCATATTTACATCTAGCGTGATGCAGATGATGTTTGACATTTCAAAAACACAAACCTCTTTGCAAATGGATTGCAAACCATCCAAATTGTTGATAAATAATAACAAAGAATTGCTAATAAATTAATTTATATTAATATTTGTTTTAGAAAGATTATCCAAGTTCAGTTTGAATTTTTTTATGAACTCTCATAAAAATGTTCTTGGTTTGTATTTATCACTTGTACAATTTGATAAATATTGATTTTGTTTTACGCGTATCATCAACAGTCACAAAATGGCATTTTCTATTATATATAATATTAAAAAATAAATAGCTCAGATTATGGAAAAATATTAGATATATAT